CTCATGTAATTGTAACCCCTCTGTATGGTATTTTCACAATAAAAAAATCAAAAAAAAGTTATTTATATTTCTTATTTTGGGCAGTTGTGAGGCCTGAACTCTGGGTCTTGGTCCCTCAGCTCTTCAGCTCAAGGCTGAAGTCATACCACCACTTCTGGCTTTTTCTGCTTATGTGGTGCTGAGGAATCAAACCCAGGGCCTCATGCATGCAAGGCAAGCACTCTACCACTGAACCACCTTCCCAGCCCAGCGGGGAAGTCCCAACTGGCCTCAATTTGAATCCTCCTTCCTCTAATCTCATAGTGCTGGGATTGTAGGTTTGTACCAGCATATTTGGAAACTAGTCTTTCTCTTATTTCTTTTCTTTCATTCCTTCCTTCTGTTTTCCTTCTTTCCTTCCTCTCTCCCTTCCTTTCTTCTCCATCTGTCTCCTTTCTTTCCCTTCTTCCCTCCTTTCCTTCATTCTCTTTTCTTTTTCTTCCTTCCTTCCTTCCTTGCTTCCTTCCTTCCTTCTTCTCCCCAACCTCATCTCTCTCTTTCCTGTGAGATAGGATCTCTGTGTAGCCCAGATTGGCTTTGAAGACCCTATATAGCTCAAGGCTAAGCTCTGAATCATCCTCTTACCTTCACTTTCTGAGTGCTGTGATTACAGGTGTACACTGTTATGCCGTGGCCTTGGGAATGGAATCTACAGCCCTGTGCATAGTAGGCTACATACTGGACTACATACCAAGATTTTGTTAGATCATACCTGGATGCAAAGGGAAGTCTTAGCTTCTTCCTAGCAGGTCAAAACCTTGGAGTCAAATCCTGGCATTTCAGTAAGCTAGCATGAGGAGCAATAGCTGTTCTAAAAGCTCCATAAAGGTTCAGTGTTCTGTGGCAGTGACTCAGAGGCAAGGCCTACTGATGCAAGTACAGCCCTTTTCCAGCAACAGGTTGTAGATGGGTATTAGGCAACCAAGACACCTCCAAGATCACATGGAGACACAGGCAGCTCACTGGCCAGTCTAGGGTACCATCCCCCAAGGAACAAAGACCAAGGTAGCTTAATCTGTTTTCCCTTGCCGTGGTAGAACCTGAGACTCTCTTTTAAAGGGTAATTTATAAAGAAAAAATAATTTTGCTCACGTTTTGGAAGCTAGAAGTCCAAGAGTGTAGCAGCATTGTCTGGTGAAGGCATCATAACCTGGCAGATGGTAAAAGGCCAGGCAAGAGCATGCAAAGGAAGGGGAGGGGGCTGGGCTCCTTAGTGTCCACCCACTCCTGCCATAACACACAGCCGGTGTGAGAAAGCTTCACATTTGTTCCTCTTGACAACCTGATCACCTCTGAAAACCTTCACATCTGACACTCAAGGCTAGTACTCTACCATTTGAACCATAGTTTCAGCTTTTTGGCACTTGAGCTACAGCTTCACTTCTGGCTTTTGTTTTTGTTTTTGTTTTAGTTTTGGTCAGTCGTGGGGCTTGAACTCTGGGCCTGGGCACTGTCCCTATGCTCTTCAGCTCAAGGTGAGCGCTCTACCACTTGAGCCACAGTACCACTTCTGGCTTTCTAGTGGTTTATTGGAGATAAGAGTCTCATGGCCTTTCCTGCCTGGGCTGGCTTTGAACCATGATCCTCAGATCTCAGCCTCCTGAGTAGCTGGGATTACAGCATGAGCCACCTGCGCCCAGCTTACTCCTGGCTTTTTGGTGCTTAATTGGAGATAAGAGTCTCATGGACTTTCCTGTCTGGGCAGGATTTGAACTTCAATCTCCAGATCTCAGTTTCTTGAATAGCTAGGATGACAGGCATGAGTCACCAGTACTGGCTTTGTTCATTTGTTTTCAAATGTGAAGAACTGTGCCAATCTACTTTTCTCAAACACCACTAATGCCCCATTCTATCATTCTTTCTTCTAATTGATAAGCTACCAATTGTCTTGTCTGTGTGAAAAGTGAAAAGCAAAGTCTCTAGGTCCCTTTTTGTCTGTGTGTGTCAGTATTTGGGCTTGAACTTTAGGGCCTTTGTGCTGTCCCTTAGCTTTTTCCATTCAAGGCTGGTGCTCTATTACTTGAGCCACAGCTCCACTTTTAGTTCTTTTTTTTTTTTGTAGAGTCTCACAAACTTTCCTGCTCACACTGGTCTTGAACTGTGATCCTCAGATCTTAGCTTTCTGAGTAGTTAGGTTTCAGGTATGAGCCACCAGCACTTGGCAATCTTTGGGTACTTTGGGAAAAATACCTGAGCTGCAGATTGCTAACATAGCTTATCATCCTTCAGGTAGTTTAAAACTAGAACATGGGCTGGGAATGTGGGTTAGTGGTAGAGTGCTTGCCAAGCATGCATGAAGCTCTGGATTCGATTCCTTAGTACCATATAAACAGAAGAAGCCAGAAATGGCACTATGGCTCAAATGGTAGGGTGCTAGCCTTGAGCAAAAGAAGCTCAGGGACAGTGCTCAGGCCCTGAGTTCAAGCCCCAGGACTGGCAAAAAAAACAAACAAACCCAAAACCAGAATGCCACATCTGTAAAATTGAGCTAACACATGTCATAATAAAAACCAGATTCACAATATGAAGTAAAGCTGTTTTTGCATACTCTCTGCTATTTCAAGTATTAGTAGTTTCATGGCTATGCAAACTCATTGCAAGGGACTTTCATACTGCTCCTAGGCAACCCAAGAAGCCATGAAATAGAGTAAGGACAATCTTCTCAAAGATCTCTCTACAAGAAATCCATATAAAGAGTGGTTTCTTGGTTCAGGATTCAGTCACACAGGTCAGGCTGTCCTGAAACATCTCTGGACTCATGTAACCACAGCTCCCCTAGAACCGGTCATATTTTATTCAGTGAGTGCTAGGAGCTGTCTTTTGACCTACCCGAACAGTTTATTTTTTCTTTCTTGCAATGCTAGGGATAGAACCCAGAACTTCATACCTGCTAGGGAAGGGCTTTCACACTGAGCTCCAGCTCCACTCCTGGAATAACAGCATTTTTTTCTCTAGCCTTAAGGTATAATTAACAAAAATTGCACATATATGGCATGTGCAATGTGTATGTGATATGTATATGCATTGCAAAATAATTAAACCAAGGTTTCTTCTGATTTTTGTTTAAACTCGTAAGACAGAAAAGTTGGTGGGAAGTTTGTTTCTAATGGGTGGCCACTTACCTAGAAATTGCTGGCTGAATCAGAGAAGAAAATCCATGAGAAACACACCTTCTCCCTGGGGTGGGCACAAGGTGAGATCTATGCTCACATCTCCACATCAGCAGGTCATACTGCTGTAAAGGAAACCTGAGCAGAGAAACCTTTTAGGATGACTCACTGAAGTCCTTGGAGGGCCATAAAGAGGGAGTTGGTGGCTGGGCACCAGTGGTGGCTCACGCCTGTAATTCTAGCTCCTCAGGAGGCTGAGATCTGAGGATCTCAGTTTGAAGCCAGCCCAGGCTGGAAAGTCTGTGAGACTCTTATCTCCAATAAATTACCAAAAATTAGCAAGAGGAGCTGTGGTTCAAGTAGTAGAGTGCTAGCCTTAAGCAAAAGCAGCTCTGTGATAGGGCCTAGGCCCTGAGGTCAAGCCCTAGAACTGGGCAGGGGGGGGGGGTGAGTTGGGGCTAGAGGGTATGGCTCAGTGGTAGGGTGCTTTCCTAGCATGTGAGACACGCTGGGTTTGATATCCAGTGCTACAAAAATGAATGATTTTCAGGGCTTCAAAGTTTGACAAGTTAGGCTATCTTCTCACTTTAGGATAACAAATAGTTAAATCTGCAATAATTTCTGTAACCCATAATGAAAGGGAGTTTGTGGGTTAACTGAGTTTTCTGATGTAGTTTCTAATGCAGTGCAAATTTGAGTCTCAAGCTCTTTGGGGCCTGGGATGTAGCTCAGTGGCAGAGCACTTGCCTAGCATGTGTAAAACCCTGGATTTCATCCCCAAACTAAAAAACAAAAGTAAAAGAAACACTGCCACAGCAACAACCCAACAGTCTTGAGAAGTGTGTGAGGGAGAGAGAAGGGTAGCCTTTCTTGTAGCACCACACTCCATTTCACTGAGTGGAATGGTGGGAAAAGAAGCCCAGAGTAAGGGAGGAACTGGAAGAGCCTGGAAGTCACAAGCATGGTGACAGACCAGATGTTGACTGAGCCAGAGAGATGGGCAGGAAAATAAGCAAAAGCTCCTCCAGCTGATCTACCTGCCAGGTCAGCCTGCAAGTGACTCATAGACTTGAAGGAATATCTTGGGCCCCACAGATTTGGAGCAGTAAGCCCGAAGCTGAGTCCTCAGAAGGATGGAAAAGGCTTTGGTTTTAAGGAGGACTGGCTACTGCTTTCTTGGAAAGACAAAAAAGGTAAACATCTTCTGCTTCCAGGTGGACAAAAGCATTTTCTTCCATGCCTAGGCAGCCAGGGTTTGAGAAGACCTGACGTATAAAACACAATATGTTTCACTGATTCTCTTTTGCTATTCATATAGGAAACAGAAATCCTTACTGGGAATGAGAAGTAAGACTTAAGGTTGTATTTATTAGGTTCTGAAACAATACACATTCACATCCTTTTGAATACAGTACATTTGGCACAATAATGTTTACAATGAAATAACACTAATGAATGGCAAGAGAGTAAAATTACATCCAGAAAGGAAAAAAAGGTGTACAAATAAAGCATCACAACACAAAATAAACCTCCTAAAATTGAATACATTTTATATTTAGCCAGAATTATTTTGCACATAATTTAAAAAGAGGTAATTTTTTAGCCTTCTTTTATTTTTTAAAGCAAAATGCATTTTTTTCACCTTTGGAGGAAAAAAATGATGGTTTCACTTTACAAAGTCCATAATTAGAAAACACAGGAGAACAGCTATCCTTCATATGTTTTTGTTTTGGGTTTTTTTTTTGGCTTTTTTTGCACTTCATCTTTTTCTTTGAGAGAGAAAAGCAGGAGAGAGAGAGAGAGAGAGAGAGAGAGAGAGAGAGAGAGAGAGAGAAAGAGAGAAAGAGAGAGAGGGAAGGGAGAGAGAGGGGGGAGAGGGGGCTAGAAAGATTATGAAGAACCAGTAGAAATGACAGAAATGTAACTGTGTCTGTTTCCCAACTTTTTTCCGTGTGTGATGCTATAGCAATGAACCCCAGGGTCTCACATATACTAGGATGCTAGGTAAGCATTGTACCCCTGAGCCATATCCTCATTGCCCCAAATCTTGTTGAAAATGAGAGAAACAATGTACACCCAAGGAAAACACAAGCCTTTTTCTATAGATCTCCACTGGCTTTAAATATTTCTATGTAAGAACTTTATCAGCTAGAGGTATCCCAGCCAGCCAGGCTTTGGGTGCTAAAAGGGAGAGCCAGGCTGGCCAATTGCCTAGAGCTGCTGGTGGAATGTATTGTTTGCCTTCCCAACAAATGTGTTAGTTGTCCTAGAGGAAGGGCCTAATCCCAGCCACCATGAAAACACCACCTAGCCCTGGAACAAGACCACTTGGGTATGGCAGGTAGATCTGACTTAGTTGTCCAAAGTTCCTAACTTTGAAGAAAGCAGGGGGGTGGGGGTGGGGAGAGAGAGAGAGAGAGAGAGAGAGAGAGAGAGAGAGAGAGAGAGAGAGTTGTGCATGATGGGTATATTGTCACGTCTTTCTAAAAAAATGAGATGATGCCACCATGAAGATGTTTCTGTGCTTGTATTCTGCTCCAGAAGATAGTCTGCCCTCAATGCGTCAAGTTACCGAAGAGAAATTAATGTTCATCACTTCACTGGTACGCCAAACACATGGATTGATACAGCATAATATTTAATATTTGCAATCATCATAAGGACAGATAATAGTTACACCTGAGTTTTTAAAAAATAAAAGCAAAACAGAACTAAATGTCATCATTAGTAACAAAGGCTGTGACCAGCCAGATGCAAATAAGGGACACACTTGCTATGGGCTCAAAATAGTCACTAAGCTTTGAAACCACCATTGAGAACATTCCTTTCTTTCTCCCATCTCTATCAGGGCTAATAGAGCACAGGAGAACTATATGTGAGACTTAATGTAGCTTAATAAACGTTGACATTCTTTAAACCAAAATGAAATAAACAATATAAAGGACTCCCCTCCCCCCCCAAAAGAATGAACACACCTAACTCTCGGTAACTTGAATCAATACACTTATAGAGTATTGCACCTGGACATTTTAATAATTACTCTTTCATAGACTAAAGTTTTATAATATGCCTGAACATGCAGCAGATACCTTTATATTCAATGAATGAATTCCACAGGCCTTGCAGCAAACACTATATACAAAAAAAAAATCTCAAATGTACAAAAGGCAAAAAGCTTCATTAGTGCCACTTCGCCACTCACAAGTATATATATATATTTAGGGGTAGCTGGGAAATCCACGTGCAACAGCTGGAATGGATTCCATTCCCTGCTAGATCAATTCAATAAAATAGGTAATCAAATGACCTCTGGGAAACATATACACAAAGCCACAGAGAATCCTTGGAAATCAAAGAATATAACACTGTTAGCATAGCTACAGGAGGTAAGATCACATCAATTAAATAGTGTCCACATGAGTTGCTATCGCATATCACACAGAAATTAAACTCTGGGCACATCTTGTTACCTTGTCAAGGTTTCAAACCAATCGTTCTTCAGTCTCTTGACACTTCTGCCTAACCCATGTTGAGTTTTAGTCCTCTTGTTCCAAAACCAGATTCATAGTTAACTTTACATGTTTAATGTCTAAAAAACACAACACAGTAGTACTACCATTTTGTAGAAGTGCACAAAAAATACAACACAATGCTGCAGAAAATAAATAGCATTTATGCTGGGAATTTAGGATGAAACTGGAAGGAGAATTTGGGAGCTAAGTTTTGCTAGGATCTCAGGGTATTGGTCATGGCTGTGGTGGTTTTTGTGTCAAGGTAGAACTTTAATAATGATGAGCATTCCTTGCCTTCTTTTCTCTTGATTCACATAGCTCCCATGTGTCACTAAAGCTTTGACAGCATAGACCCTGAATGACTGGATTCTCACTGTACATTAGCCCTTTAATATATACCTGTATTCATGTTGAAATTGGTATTGTGCCAATTAGAAAGCAAATTTGGTAACTCATTTTTCAAATGTTAACAGAGTTCAAAATCAAATTTTCCCCCCACAAAGAATGATTTCTTCCATGAGATGCAAATGTGTAAGACTTTGGCATGCTCAAAAGCTAAAACCAAAGCAGCAAGAATGTGCCATTCACAAGCACACTGACACAGCTAGCCAGTCTGTTGCATCTCTTAGGCTCATTCCATCCAAGGCACACCTCAAAGTACCTGTCCTCATGTGGAGGAAGTCTTCATTCTTCTCCTGGGAAGAAGGGCAGGGGTGCTAGCCCAGGGACAGGACGGATGAGAAGCAAGAGGTGTCAGGATTCTATATCCACTGGCACAGCCAAAAGTCTTCTTGTTGGATTAGTTTTTTTGTTTTTTTGTGGTTAAAGAACTGAAGTTGCTTCATAGCCAAGAGCCCCAAGAGTAGGACCAGGCTTGTGGATGGACAGTCCAAACACGGCAGTGTGCACAGCTACCTGCTGACCCAACTTGAGTCTATGTTTTTGATGAGGCAAGACCCAAGAGTGCCTTCTAGTCACCAGGAAGGTAGGGGAAATGGTGGCCTGGGGTAAGGGAATGCAATAAATAGAGTGGAATGGGACTGGGGCTCCAGGGAGGAGGAGGAGTTCAAGACCTTCTGAGCCTCCGTAACACAGGATCTTCACAGCGACCCCCTTGCAGCATCAGCGAAGTCCACCTGGAGTGGCTTCTCAGGGCATCAGGTCCTCACCAAAGTAGGAGAAGCCTTTGAATTCTTCCTGGTTGATCTGCTTCACAATCGCTTCATCCACAAGTGTGAGTACTGGCTCTTCCCGGGTAAAGTCTTGGTCAAAGTTATTGACATCTCTTTTGGTTTTCTGTGGGGAGGAAGAGAAAGCACTGAATCAAGGCTGACCTCCCGCCTGGGGGCCCCTCATAGGGAGTAGGCATCAAGGTGACCAGCCTCTCACCAAAGTGGGCCTCTAGCTACTTGAGAGCAGACACAAGGCTGTTCCAATGAGGTAACGATGGATGGCCCCAGGTCTGGGAGGTGACAGAGGAGGAAAGGAAGAATGAGTTTAAGGTGAGAAGGAAGAAGGGGTGTGTGGGTATGATGGAAAAGCAGGGAAGTGGGATTCCCATAGGCTGTGCGTGTGTGTATGTGTAGGTGTGCACATGTGTGTATCTGGGGAGAGTGAAACACACAGCTTCTAATTCACACTCGTATCGCCTCTGCCCTAACTGTTGAGCTGCATCAATACCTTCTTCCCTGTGACCAGGGCACAGACTTGAATCTGCTACCCACAGTTCCCAGTATTCCTTCATCACTAGAGGGAGACTCCACAACTGTGACACATCTACAACATATGTGAGGATGAAGATGGGCTGAGGACTGAATCATCTTCTGGGGAGCCTACCCTGATCCCCACCTGCTCTCTGCATGACCTTATTATGTGCTCCTATGGATTTTGCTATTATTACACCCAGCACTTATTCTGACAAGTCAGTCTTGCTGTGATGTGATAATACTTCGGTTTGGACCATATATTTCTTATTTTATTCACTCATGGGTTTCCAGTAGTTTGCACAAGGCAGTTAGTAAATATATGTCAAAAGAAGTGAGCAAACCTATTGCTCATCCCCCAGCGGAGAAAGATTCACACGTTGTTGGACACCAAATGGAATTGTGTGGTTTACAGTGACTGGGTTTGTAGAACAGCAATCAAGCAACCCACATACAAATCCTAGTTTCTAGAAGTGTAAGTAATGCTCTCTGCATTTAGGCTGAGTTGGGAAAACACTCTTCTTGTCTAAGACACAATGCACAGAGAAGAAAGTGCTTGGTTAAGTCTGAAGAACAGGCCGCACTTGTGTTAGGAGAGATGGGAGGAGGGCACCTTGCAGGGAGAAAGACGGGACAAAGATGGAACACAAAAGATGTCTGCACAGGACAGTGCATTTGCCAAACTGCCTGGGGCAGTGTCCAGCATGGGGATGCTGGGAGGTGAGCTGCAGTCCAAGTGCTGAAACCGTCAGTGTCCATGGCCCCTCAGCACAGAGCCACACGGCAGGAAGGTTGGAGGCACTCCAGCAGTGCCTTTTCAGATACCGATTCATTGCACTACCTAGGATTAGTGACCTGGATGATTTTATGGAAAGGTTGTTATTATTTATAGGAAAAACAATCTTAATACATAAATGGTGTTAACAGGTAGTCCAGGAACCAAAAGCAGCTTTGAGACAAAGTTGTATTTTTCTATTCTGTTCTTGGACAGTTGCCACGCACACGAGCAAATTAAAATCTCTAAGAAGTAACTAGTATTCTTTAAACTTGACATAAAATGTTTTCCCCCTGAATAGCTTGAGAACAACCTCTCCTCAGAGCAAAGATATGCAGAAAATAGTTTGGGAGGCGCTGCTTGAGGGTTTCCAAAGCACCTTCGTCTTCATTCCCTCATTTGATCCTCGGAACAGGAAGGCATTGGATCCTGATTTTACAGTAGAGGAAATTGGCTCAAAGAGCCAATTCGATGGCTTGGCCAGAGTCACCTGACTAAGAAAGAGCAGAGCCAGAATTCAAATCCAGGTCTCAGCATGATGCCTCCTATGGTATGAGTGGACTGGAAACAAAGACACTGGAGAAATGGGATGAGATATACAAACAAGGGTCAAAGTCAAGCAAGACATACTTAGGAAAAGCCATCAGGCTAAAATAATGCCAGAAAGACCTGGCATAATGGTTTAAACATAGTTTGAGAGCTTTGTGGATCAGAGAGAGAGAGAGACAGAGACAGAGACAGAGAGACAGAGACAGACACAGAGAGACAGAGAGACAGAGCAAGAGAAGGAGAAGGAAGCTTGGGTTGGGAAGCAGGCAGGGGTTCTGTTTTTACATGGCGTGGATTGAAGAGAATCATAGGTAGCATACAACAGGGATGAGCTATTCTTTCCAATCTCCTCAATACTTCAGGCCTGCGTGGTGTCCTCTCTCTGGATCTGCATTGCATAATTCAGGTCTCAGAGAGCATGGAAGGACAGAAGGGAGACAGAAAACCAAGGGATTTCCAGTCATAGGACTTGTAGCTGCAGAATGTTGGTGTTGCCCCTTGAAATGGGAAGCTCAGGAGTGGCTTGGTAGTCTCTGCCAGAAAGGCTGACCCTGGGCAGGACTAGTTGTTCTCCAGGATGTAAAGCGCCAGAGGAAAAGGGAGGCCCAGGCTGAGAGCCACTTCAGAGAGGAACAACAAAACAAAGCCTCTCCCCACCACCATGCATGTTAGCTACGGGAGGGTGCGGGCTGGGGAAAAGGGTGTGGTGACACCTTTTTTATTTTTTGACAGTGCTAGGGATTGAAGTCAGGGCCTTTTGCTTGCTAGGCAGGTGCTATATACTTGAGCCACATCTCTGCGCTCTTATTTAAACTTTTTTTTTCAAGGCAGGGTCTCACTTTATGTCTGGGTAGGCCTGGGTTTTCTGCCTTTCTACTTGTGATTCCTTGGTATTACTGGGGATGACAAATGCAGGCCAATGCCCCCCAGCCAGATGCCCCTTCCCCAACAGCTGGGATAAAAGATGTATACTGTAGTTCCGAGTCATTAGTTGAGATGGGCTCTCATGAACTTTCATGCTTGAGTTGGCTTCTAATCACAATCTCCTGATCTCTGTTTCCCCAGCAGCTAGGATGATAGGCCTAGTGTTACCTGTCTGGTAACACTTAATCTCTGTTGAAGGAGGGAGCGGGTCAAGGAGCTGAAGAATGAGGAGGACTATGTAATATGGGCCTACTGTGTTCAGTGAAGACAGCCTAGATGGAGGGGCTGAAGGGGTGATGGCAAGAATTTGGGAAGCACCAGAGCATCATTCCAAAGAACAACCAAAAGACATCCAGTAGGTCTGAAGCACAACTGTGTTGGGGATCAAACTCAGGGCTTCAGGCACACTAGGCAAGCACTCTACCACTGAGCTACATCTCCAATCCAGGCAGTTACTAATTTCCAATTGAAATAGCCAACATTCCCATATGGCCACACTCCTGACTATTCACATCAGAGGCTTAGAAAGTTTGTTCCCTATCACTGACACATCGGCAGCATAGCATCCCCTAATTTGGAAAGAACTGAAATTATATCCTTATTCTCTGACTTTACTTCTCAAAATGCCTTGCCTTCCCTCTTGGAGCAACCTGGAGCCTTGACACCTAGGTTCTGAGGAGGACATTCTAGGGATACAGTGTATCCTGGTCCTCAGTTGGTCACATACTTCCCCCAATGCCCAAACAGCCTCTTGGCTGCATTGCCAGTCTGAGAGATGACACTGGATATGGGAAACACCATTCTGACTGCATAGCTTCCCTCCTCCATGAAGTTGTTTTCCATCACCTTTGGGCCTCACTCAGGGAAGGCTGCAGAGAGGAGGAGTTAGGTCATTGGCTGAACTCTCATCCTGGTACTGTCTACCACTCCTCACCTCCACTTATATGACACAGATGTTAACCTCTGTAACACAGGGTCACAAGTGAGGCCCTATCCTCAATGAAAAGCCCAATGAGAGTAGGGAGCTGGTAACTGTGAGTTCTTGCTCAGTTCCCAATCTTAGTGCTGCGTACGATGGAAACACATTATGTGCCTGCTGGGTGTGGTACCCAGGACTGTTCATGTGATTGATGTGCCCACTGAGGAGCTTCTGGCACCAGCTTATGAGATACCTTATATGAAGCTGTGTGCCTCCAGATTCTGAATTCGTATGGAGCCAGGGCCTGTCTGAATGTGCTAGTGCTTCTTCCCAGTGATTGTTCTCTTCTGTGGCATGCTCGGGAGCATGTCCTGAATACCTGTACTCACTCACTTCGGAGGCTTTTAGATCACATCCCTGTCTACTCTCCCAGCCTCAGCTCCCCAGGCCCCGTGAAGCACAAGGCGTTCCATGCTCATGGACTTTCTCCTCCCTTCAGATTTTGCACAGGTGAGCCTCTCCCAGGTGTCTTCTCTCCTCCTTGCCTTCTGCCCCACATCCCTTTTCCTCCCGCAGTATAGACTCTCTTCCTTCAGGGAAGAGCGTTTTGAACCACCATCTCTCCTAACTTCACATACCCAGTTCCTCTTTTACCTGACTTGTCAGCCTTATGCAAGTGGAGACCTGATGGAATTCACCATTCCATTCCTACCGTCTAGCACAATGCCCAGCATGGACGGACACTCCCAGCTATCTGCTAGAAGGAAGGGATGCACCTCCCTTGTTGTTGCTTAATCTAGAGCCAGCAACGTGACCAGGGTTCAGGGCCACTGGCTGCTCTCCTGCCAGAGGGGTTTGTCATTTGGAGAATTTGAGGTAGGAGTAGGGAGGGGCTGACTCTGACTCATGAAGAGTTTAGAGTTAGACAGCGTAGACCAGCACTGTGCCCTAGGGGCCCTGTAAAACAGGAGATTTCAGCCTAATTAATGGGCTCTCTCTTTCCAGTGCTTGGGGGCACAGGGTTCTCTAATTACTGATACAATATAGGAACAAGAGCAGTTACAACCAAGGTTTGGGAGAATTCCATCAAGATAGATGTGTTTAGGGACTTGGTGGGTATGTCTTTGATTCTCATGGATGATATTAGGAAAGAATATTCCATTGCTCCTGGCATTCCTTCAGAAATAAGGTCTTAGATTTGAGGGCTCTGAGCCTGATATGGTAGATGCTTTTGAGATGTCTGCAGTGGGGGGAAAAGGACACAGGAAAACACTTTCAAACTCCCCCCCCGCCCCACCAAGAGTGTATCCCAGAAGCAGAGGCCCCAGGCCTGCCTTATCCATCATGCCTGGCGGCTCCACAGAGGCTGTGTTTAGACATCAGCGTTGAGATGGGCAGAAGCACATGCTTGTTTGCTGTCTGGCTG